CAAAGGATTTCCCCCAAAGGCACAGGAACTGGAGAAAATGAGACAAACCCAAAACATTCAGATTCTATACTTTATACAAAGCCTCACCACGTTCCCTGATGGCCCCGATGCTGAACCCATGTGTCTTCTCTGAGGCTAAGAGATTTTTGTTTAATTGGGTCAGATGGCCCCAGAGGCACCTCCCGTTTTGAGGTTCTGTGTTGCATTGCTAGGTATCTATTTTGATGATGGGGGCTCTGAGAAAAAAACAGGTTTGGGGAACCCCTGAACCTCTCCTCTAGTGTAATTATGAGAAGCCAGCCTCTGTTATGAATAGTAACAGGATGTTCTTTGAAAAGGGGCCTTCACTAGTGTGTCTTTTGGCAAAGGAGGACATTAATTTGAGTCTCAAAATTTTAACTATGCCCCAGGCTGAGCATCACAGATACCATCAGAAGAACAGGGCTTATGCAGGGGAGGACAAGACAAAGCCCCCAGCCTGGTTCTGGCTTGGGCAGGTTTGTTCTTCCCAGAAGGTTGCTTCTGTGCTGCTAATTACACTGAGTAAAGGAAATGGGAAAATGATTGCTAATGAATTGAGTTTTTCTCTTCCTCCAGGTGCTTTCTTGCAGAGAACTGATCCTTTGAATTTATAACCCTGGGGCCTGGCAAGATAGGACCTATTAAGCCCAGCTGAGCAAGCACATTCTACTATCAGGTCATGACTAGAGGAGCATTTGCATCAGGCAGTGAGCTGTGTGGTATAGGATGATGCTACCAAGATGGAATGCTTGAATGCTCTGGCATTACGGGCCCAAGACAACTCATATTTGGATGGCATCTTGCAATTTACAAAAGACTTTTGTATCTCTCATCCCACTGACTGCTCGTAGTGTTTTCCAGATAAAGGCAAGGTAGCTCAGAAAGCTGGGACCTGTCATGTGTCACTCATAGCACTGCTTAGCTTTACCCTAGTCCTCATTTTGAAGTTCATACTTCTCTTTGAACCCCTGGACAATTGTTGATACTTTTTCCGCTATCGCTGAGACAGGAGCAAAGGATGGCAGGCAGGTGTCTATCACACCTCCTTATAGTCTGAGAAAATTTAGCCTGAAGGGGGTTTCAGATTCTAAAACTAAGCAGTTTGGGCAGAATGGAAACTATAAGCAATCTATTTCACAGAAGAGGAGAGAGATGCAGAGATCTAATTTTCCTGAAAACAGATGCAGGATTTTAGCACCATGTTAGTGGGGACAGGATATGTTGGCTTATAATGAGGAGTAATCACAAAACAACAGAATCTTGGAAACTAGGGCTATTTAGGAGTCGAGCTCTGTTCAGCACACACAATGTCTTTGATTTGATCTCCAAACAACTCCCAATTCAATATCTCAGCAAAATGAAGATTAATTTCTCCCTCAACTCCCATGTTTTATCATGAATTGACAAAGGGACTCTGCTTTACCCAATCACTCAGGGGCCCAGGCAGAAACCACTGCAAAGGTCACCAATCGGAACTGAAAATAGGTACTTGGATGCTCTTTTTCTTAAAAGACATCAATTCTTCATTAAACACAGAACAAAGGCCGGCATTTCGGCCTCCATTTGTGTCTGCTGTTTCCCTCTATTTTTGATCACCTGTTTACACACAGGTAGGTTAACCATCCAAAGAGTGTCTATCAAGTCTATTTTATCCCCTTCAAGGTTGAAGGCAGAGACAAATTATCATCTTAAACCTCCAGTCACCCTGAATTCCTGCAGAAACCCCCCAACCCCCATCAGATGAGGGAAACTACCCACAAATGGCAAGGAAGCACACTGGGGCAGACGTGACCATCTTCAATAAATATGATCGATCCTTTCAAGTGGTGGCAATGATCAGAACTTCTTTGGACCACCTTACAGAACCAGAACTGAAAAAAAATATCAACCATGTCATACTTTACCAGGATTGCTTAATTACTCATACTTCTTGCCCATCTACCCCAATCCTTCCTCTCTTTAACCTAAACCTCATGTTACTACTTTGTAAACTTGGGAGTTCCAGGGTCCCTTTATTTGCTCTTCATAATTGGGCCACATTGAATAGATCTCTCTTCTTTATCACTACCCACCTGGTATATTAGTATTTGCAGGAGTGACTGAGCTTACCATGTTTGGACTGATGGAATCCAGCCTTTCACCCTAGAGATTCTGACAACACAGTTAAAGGGTTTATGCCACCAGATCAGGAGCAAAAATGGGACAAAATGTTTTGACCTGGAAGTGACATATCACATCAATATATAGCATATTGACCCAAAATAATCAAGTTGGCATTGTCTGTCAGTCAGACAATAAGCAGAGAAGTCTCAGAATCAGCAGGCACTAGTCATGGCTAATCTAAGGTTGGCCTTACCAGAGTCAAGGCTCTTCATGGCCAACTTCACTCAACTTGAGCGCTGGTTAAATTCCCCGAGATATGGTAGTTCATGGATTTGAGCCGTCATTCCTTCTTGTCCTCCAGCACACAGTGAACAACTCCCCTGTACTGGGTGATAGGATACTAATTATTGTGGACAAGGTGTAGTGGCACTCACCTGTAATCCCAGCACTCAGGAGGCAGAGTCATGATTACCACAAGTTCCAGGACACACTGCTCTATATTGTGAGTTCCCGGCCATCTTGTACTATAGAGTGAGGGTATTTCAAAATGGACATACAAATATATAATAAAGAAATGCATTGCTTTTGCCTCCAACTGCAGTTTAAGGTTCATCAGACGTGTGACACAAGCCTTTAATCCCAGCACTTGGGAAGAAGAGGCCAGCCAAGACTACATAGTGAGATCCTGTTTTAAAAATGAAACAAACAAACAAACCAACAAAACCCTCTAAGCAGCAAAGAAGGAAAGTGCTAATGTGACATGTGCCAGTCACAAAACTCAAAGCAGATCAAAGCAGAAGTTAGACATGAGTAGACCAACTTGAGGCTTCTCAGGGTGGAAACGAAAGTGATTAATAAGTATCTTTTTAGGGTAAGGCCTTTGAGGTGAGCTTTCAAATAAGCAAACTCTGGGAAAGAGTTCAACGGCCCCTCTAGGGATAGATAACAGCAGGGAAGCACAGGGCAAACAAGGCACAACCTATCTGACTGGGTTGAAAGGTGAGGGTGGGAAACAAATGTGAGTGATCTGACTTGTAACATGACGGCTGGCTTGTTGGGGTTTCCGTCCTGCCTGGTACCCCACAGCCGGCAAGACCCAAAGAAAATCATACACAGGACTCCATAAGATTATAAGCTGATTGGCCCATTAGGTCAGGCTACTTATTAGCTCTTATAAATTATGTTACCCCATTATCCTTATCTACATTAGCCCATGGCTCCGTACCTTTCTCAGCTGGGCAAGTTACATGCTGCCTCTTCGGTGGTCTGCACAGGAGTGACTGAGGAACCTCCCTGCTTCCCAGAATTCTCCTGTTCTCATTGTATCACCTCTACTTCCTGTCTGGTTTTCCCGCCTATACTGCCTGCCTGGCCAATCAGCGTTTTATTAAAATATTATTGATAGAATACAGACAATTCTCCCACATCACTGACTCCTTGGGATAACTTGGAATCAAACCTTGGAGGATTTAGAGCTTTACTCTTTGATAAGAAAGTGTAGAAAGACATTACCTAAATCTAGGCCAAGAGCTTGTGTCCTGAGTCTGAAGACTTCACAAGGAGGGCGTGGCTTTTAAAGTGTCTTAAGGCTTGGTGATAAAGGCCATGTCTTTATGATTTGCCCTTGAGTCTTAGGTAACTTCCATGAAGGACTGGAGTCAGGATGTAATGTAATGCATAGAAGGTTCAGAAGATTTAGGCCTTTGGAGCTCCAAGTGGGGTGCTATACATAGTCTTGTGTCACAGTAATGCTGACCCCGGGCAGGGTTCTGGCTCTCACAGCACAGGAAGCATCCTACCCAGTACCATTTGGCTTAATCACTTGGACCTTCACCTCTATCAGTCTAACTTTGCATTTGGTCCCACCCCAACCCCAACTTCTTTTTGTTTCTGGATGCAGTCAATGCCATTGCTGCTGCTTTAAAAACAATCAGACATATAAACAAAACCCCCAAAACTGTGTTGATTCAAGTTAATTGGCTCTAGCCTCTAGATTTGCTCTGTACCTGGGTCTCATCTCTCCAAACTCCAGCCCCTGTGACAGCTGCACTCTTCTGGGATAAACCTTCTGAGGTGTAATCTGTAACCTTTTGGCAATGTCTTGCACCTGGCTCCCCTGCCCCTCCTCCACCCTCTCCTGCACCCAGTGGCTGACACCTGATGGATGTAGGACATGAACTTTACCAATTGAGCTATATATCCAGTCTTGCATTCTTTCTTTTTCATGTCCCACATTCTATTTCTAGCTGTGTTCTGCATTCTTGTATGTAAAAAGGTTCCCAGGAACAGTCTTGACTTTTTTTGGTCATTAACCAGAGAACATTTGCATCTCTCTCATGACTTACAGCTTCAAAATCATTACCTGCAAGCAGTTCTGTCAAACCTGAAACACTCCTGTGAGGTGAGCAGTATGAACCCCAGTCCGTTAGGTAGTGTGTGCTGCTATGCCATTGGCTTCTGCACTTTCACAACCAGCTTGCAAGGTCAGAGACCTGCAGATTGCTTTTACTCAGACCGCAGCATTTGAATATACAAAACAGCACAAATGTGCACTGACTCCCAGTCCCTGTGGGATTTGGGCTGCCCAGGCAGAGGCTCCTGTTTCTTCATCCTCACAGTCAAGCCCAGCACTGAGCATTCGGACGTCACAAAAGCAGAGAGCCAGAATTGGCTAGAGCTGGCAGAACTGCCCTCATGCTTCTCAAATGCTCACAAACTGAAGAATGAAATGCCTTCACGTGGCCTTGAAGTAAAAATATATAACTTTTCTAATCTCAATCTTCAACTTTCCTCCCCAAACCTGAACAATTTCACACAAAACTGAGCAGGGTTTTATAGTAAACAAATGCTCATATATTAAATAACACAACACATGATACTTTTTAAAACATTTATATTTATATATATAAAATTAAATATATAATATATAGTGTGTTTGAGGCTAAAAATATAGTACACAATATTTTTTTTAAAAAAAGAAAAAAAATGTCAGAATAGGAAAAGGTGTGAAGGACACACAGATACATATTGATAAAAATCTATGATGGTTTGTTCTAACAAAAATACTTTTTTTCCTCTTAGTTGTCATCATGGATCCATTTATGATGAGAATTTTGATAGCAAAAATTCAACTGGCATCAAAAATGGGGATTGCAATCCCAGGAATGGCTGGGGTAGACAGTTTGACCCCAAAAGTGCTGGGCTGTTAAAAGTGGAGGCAGCATGGCCTTGTTGGTCACTTTTGCTAAAGAGCCTACCTTTGTTGTATTACCAAATTGAATGCTCTCTCCCCAGAGTCCTGATGTTCTCAGGGGCCATGGACAGCTCCTGAAGCCAACAGAAGAACCTGACAACCAGTTTGCAAAGGCCAATGTTTGGGGATAGTAAACAGTTAAAGATGGAGGGGGTCTACTGAGACCAATAAGTGGCATTCTATGCACACAAAACATTACAATTGTAAATGGCAGGTTTGTACCAAAAGTTTCTGGTCTAGCCTTTGTCTTCTGTGCAGCAATTATTTTCCTCTGACAAAGGGCCCTGGGGTTCCCCCACACTGATGCAGGACAATTATAATTCTGTACCTTCCTCTCAAATCCATACTCTGCCAGGCCACATGCCTCAGTCTTCTCCACTGGCCCATGGGTGGTGTCAGCAGCAAGCTGCCAAAGGTTACCCAGCACTAGTCAGAAAGCACTGCCTTTACAAGAGAAGGAAAAATAGCAGAGGAGATGGGACAGAAGCAGGGAGAAAGGGATGCTATGCTTAGGGAATAGTTTTATAGTTTTATAGTCCTTTCACAATAGTCAACGCCTCACCAATGGAGTCTTGAGGTCTGTGAACCTCAGTGTCATGTTACCAGCTACTCCCTTGGCTCTACAGGTGCAGAGCAGGCCTAGCTTAGATTCCATATAAATAAAATAGGAGGGAAGCCAAGTTTATTGGGGCCTGCAGTGGCCTTGGGAGGTCATGTAATTCATCCATAGGGATAGAACTTCTCACACAGCAGGATGAGGCAGCGAGTGAGTCAGTAGACTCCACATGTCCAAACAGACTTTGACTTTAGCAGGAGTTTCTATTATCCCCCATTGCCTAACATTGCTATGTAGTGGGCCAAGTGAAGTATACAGGGGCCACCAATTCCATCTTAGGGAACCCAGGAGCACCCACATGTGAACAGAACACAAGGGTCAAGACACAGGTCTGTGTGCTCCCTCCCACAGGACAGAAATTCCTGTCACATAGGAGGAAAGCAGCTGCCAGCATGAGGAAAGCCTATCACTCAGAATCATGTGAACAGAGCTCATCTTTCTCATTCTGATCCAGACATTTTGTGAGCTATGCGTTGCTGCCTTTCCTGACTATGTTCCTTTCTCTCACGGCAGGCTTTGCCTTGTGTGTATTCTGTGGTTAGACTATGGGAGACCCAGGATTCAATAATCAGGCTGGGCTCTCTATAAAGAGTGAGGCCTATCCAGAGCCACAAGAACTTTTTGCATATGCAGAGTTTGTTAAAGCCACTAAACCCCTTCTTCTACCAGCTCCCCTTTCAGCCTACAGGAAGGTGTTAGCCACTCTCACTCCTGACTTCAAGTTCAAGGCTTCAGCTTGATTAACAGGGAGTGCCACCATTTCCAGATGACCATTCCTGGAGACCATGTGGAAGGCAGATTCACTACAGCCTATGTGCTGCTGCTGTAGTCTGCATCCACAGTAGAGGAAACTGAGCCCTACCATGATCACAACAACCTGTTGAACCTAAGAGGAGAGCAACCATGTTGGTCCATTTCACTCAGGGTTAGGGTGAAGCTTATGGTACAGGCAGGCCTCCCCTGCCCCAACCTTCACCCGGACTGCTTACTTTTCCTGAGTTCTTTGGATGGCTGGGCAATCCCAAATCCTGCCTCCCCAGATGAATACAGCTAACACAGAATAGTTGTAGGTAAAGACCAGAAAATTGGAGGCAACAAAAACAGAGGTCAGATCATGGTTACTGAGCAAATGGCAGCTGCAGAATGGGATCATGGATCTCTTGACTCCTGGCTCACTTGGGGTGCTTAACATCATCAAGTAACAGGGTACAAATATGCTGGTACCAACTGGAAGGTGGAAGAGTCTCGTGATTAAGGGGGCTTTCAACTACCTAGACATGCAATTCCACTGGTCATTCAACTGGGTCTTGCAGAATATGAGTGGCAGGAGATGAGTCTGTCTCCATTGCTGCTCCCTGTGCCCTGTATGGTACTTGATACCCACAGATTTCCGGCAGGGCTTGACCTTTTGATGCTCTTGCTTCCATGGGAGGGATCTACTGCTTAAATCAGAGAGAAATAAGAGAATCAAGCCAAACCCCAAACAAGATGATTGTTTTAGGGAGTATTGCTGTTTAAAATACCACTCTATTTAGACTTTAAAGTGTTCAGATCACCCACAGCTTCAGGTGTCAATTAAATTTAAAAACTTGCATGAATTCACATTCACAAGAACCTACTCTGTAAACACATTGCTTTGCTGACTTCTCATGAAAAGGCTCTACAAGTGTGAGTACTCTGAACTGGAATACAAGCCTGTCTGTGTGGATGGGCCACTCTGTGTGGATGTACTTATTGGAATAGAAGAGGAAGCAGAGGCTGTCTGTCAGGCTGGAAATGGAGCCCCTTACTATCAGAAGAATCCTTATCAGAAAGGAGATAGTAAGAATGTCATCCGACAGGCCCATCTATAAGGTTAGTGATGGACTGTGGTTGATGAGCATGTAACTCATGAAAGTAAACATGACTAATGAGTGCTGACCAATGTGAAAGGCAAGGAGTGTTCTGAGAATGTTCCCTTCCATCTTGTAGGTCTCAATAGGAAGGTGGACAGTTGACTCCAGAATGGCAGTAGACTCCAGATGGGCAGAGGTTTCTTGGGAAACTAAGGCTGAAACAGGAGTTACAGATTCTCTTTGGTCAGAAAGTGGTAGATGAGAAGTGATATGGAATGTGTGTATGCTGCAAGGGAAGAGAAAACATGGGCTATGGAACGAAATGCCTACAGCATTCTTCTGCACTGGGGACTCCATCTAGATCAGTAAAAAGATTTTGTAGAGCCATTTTCAGGCCCCCTTCCCTTCATATTCCCTCACTATCTCTCCTTGGATGCTAACACAGGACAATCTGAAGCTCACAAGTTCCTGCTCTCTACTCAGGGACAGCATCACAAACCTGACACTCAAGGCACTGAAAACGGAAAAAATCTGATTGGCCCAGGGGTGAGGTAAGGATGAGACAAAACCAAAATTTGTCTGGATAAAGCATTTACCACGCTACCTGCAAGGTGAACTCTAACTAGGGTGAGTCCCAGGGTAGATGGTAGTGTCCGAGGTTCAGAACTGCTTAACTCTAACATCTAGGCAGGTCTGACCACTGGATGTAAAAAATAAGATTCAAAGTGCTTGGAGACTCAGAATAATGCAAAGTGTTAGGAGCCTGCTGGAGGACAGGTGCCCCTTTTCTTTGTATGGGGACTTGTGTATGGTGGGGAAACCCCTACAGCTTTTCTTTCCAAATGAGGGTTTTTATTGCCTTTGAAAAAAAAAGATCCGTGACACCTCTGCCTTACCCTCCAAAGCTCAAAAGTTAATACCAAAAAGTGGGGTCGATAACATGAAAGTAGTAAGATTGTGTGGTTCCCATTACTCTTGGATCTGGGAACTTCCATGCAGCACACAGTGGCCCCTTGCCAGTCAACCAGTACCTGGTCCCGACCACTCTTTGCTCACATCCAGGACACATCTGCTGGACCAGCACAAAGCTGAAAAGAAGGGGAGAAGTGCTACTAGGGATTTCTGGAGCTCTATGCACGCAAACAGTCACAGTAAATAGCCGCAGTAACTGGTGTTTTGACCCCAACTGACCAAAGGCTGGATTTGAACCCATTGTCCCATCTGCAATCCCCTGAGATGGGAAAGATGAACACAAGGTATGAATGAAATCAAGAGAGGACTGCCCTGCATTGCAGCTGTCTGGACTACTAGGCCAAAGCCTGCTCACTTCAGCATATCTCCATGCCCACTTACGGGTGATCAGAGGAGCAGGACAGAAAGGAAATACTAAAATAATGTGCTCTTTTCTCCTTTCTCCTCCTCTCCTATCCCCTCCTCCTCCCACCCAACCTCCAATTCCCCGTGCCCATGCTTGGGTCAGGTATGAGTCAAGGTCAGTAGAGACATCCTTCTGAAAAAGAGCTCAGCAGGCCTGGGAGACTGGGGCATGCCCAGAGCACCGTCCTTGGAATCGGGTGTTACTGGGAGACCTGCTCCTTATTTGTGACAGCAGGAGGAGGAAGGCTAGGTCCAAGAAAGGAGCAATGAGCAATGTCCCTGAATGTCAGGGAAGAACTGGGAAGCCTTCTCCTCTGCCCCGCAGAGATACCCCCAGTCAGACTCCAGCCTCTACACATGAGTTTGCATGCGCTGCTGAAATCGCTGGCCATAGTCTGAGTGCTGAGAGGTGTAGGAGAATCGAGTGGCTGTGGCATACTTGCCAATAGGGTCATATGCTTCATAGGGGGTCCTCTCCAGGCCAGAGGGTGGGGCCTGGGGGTAGCCTAGACGGTAGGTAGGATACCCGGCTGCCCCGGGGAAAGGATGGGAGTTGAATTTCTCATAGTTCTCGTAGGACAGCTGGCTGGTTGTATCCGTGCCACCTGGAGCAGAAGGGCCAGAGGGTGAGGGCTCTGTGCCATAGTCAGAGGCAGGGGCCCGGCTATACGTATTGAGTTGGGCATAGCCACTGGAGTGGGAGAGGCGAGATGACGGGCGGCCATCAAAACGTGTAGGGCCAGGGGCACGGTAGTCCGCATACAGCACTGCCCTGGAGGACGGGCGATCTTCGTGGGCACGCACATTGTAATAACCATTGGTAGGATCCTGAGGGTGGGGAGGCAGCAAGAGAAGAGGATCAAAGTGTGAATAGTATCTCAAATGGTCTTCTGCCCATGCCCCCCAACCCCATGTTCTTCTCTTCTCACTCGGCATCACCCTTCCTTCTGTTCTATCTGCAGGCCTCTTGGTAACCCCCTCCCCCCCGGCTGTCCTCACCTGCCCCTGCAGATCCTCCTATCCCATTTCCCTTGTGCCCTGCTTTAATCCCTTTTCCCACCTTCATCTCATACTCTTCCCGTGTATCGATGGTGTCACAGCGCAGGTCCTGCTTCAGATCCACATCATCCTTAAAGGACTAAAGGGCAGGAGTGTGTGTCAGGAGACAGACACTGCGTTTACCCCCTCCCCTACCTTTGCTAATTTCATATCCAGAGACCATCTGCTAACAGATGCTCTGGGTTAGGGCAGACTTGTGTCTCATGTATAGATTGAAGTAGGAGGACACTAGAGACCTGGTTTCTAGCATTAATTTTGTTGCCAAAGTGTAATATGACATCTTGAGTATGCCATTGATACTGTCAGGGAGCACATCTCAGCAATGAGGAGAGTGAACCAGAAATATCTACACATTTTCTTCTATGTGAGGGAAAGATGAGGCAAAGGGAGCTGGAGGAGAGAGGAAAGTAGTTTTACATATGCACATGAAAGTGTATAGGTGTAAGTGTGTCTGAGGGTGCCAATGTAGTGTGTGAGTGTGTCTATAGGTGAACAGGCTGGTACATAGGAATTGGGGTGGCAAGAGCAGGTTAAACTCATTGAAGAAAAGGTAACAGAAGCTATGAAAAACTCATGGGGCTGTCCTTGGGACTATGAAGAGCCTAGGCCAGCAAGAAGCATGATCCTCACCGAGTAGATGGCCTTCATGACCCGAGTTGCTGTGGAAATGCTGGCAGCATCATCTTCCCGGTCAGAATGCATCGTGAGTGGCTCCCGATTCACCGTCTCTACCTTGATGTCTAGCTTCCTCAAGGTCACATCCTTTCGACCTAGGACAGGGAGGTGTGGCTGGGCCAGGTGCTTTTTGTTGGTCTCTGTGGCATTGGCTTCTAGCCCCCACCCTGTGATGTGACCCTGAAGGGTTTGTTGTGGCTGTGAAGCGCCTGTACTCACTGCCTTTGCGACGTCGGTAAAGGAAGAACACTAAGGCAACAAAGAAGAAGATGACCAGGATGCCTACACCAATGGTGGCTCCAGCAATGATGCCCACAGGTAATACCTCTATAGACAGGGGGGAGAAAGAGTAGGAGTGAGTGACCTGAAGACTTAGCCACAAGATACTGTGACAATTCTAGATTATGTACAAAGCTAAATTTTGCCTGAGCCGGGCAGTGTTGGCATCTGTTGGCTATCACTGGACAAGATCTGGCTGAGCTTCGACTGAGATCTGTGCTTTCATTTGATCAGAGTTGATGTCAGTGCAGTGTTATCCCTGCATCAGTTTGCCTCAGAGCCCTTTCTTCCTCTGTTTGGTCCACCTACCCATGAAGCTTGGTTCCTCCCTCCTAAATTGGGCTTTTGTCTGAAGTCAGCTCTCTCTAATTTCCAATCTGCCATGTCTGTTTCAACCTCCTCTGTGACCTTTCTTGCCTGCAAAACTGTCTGCTGTCTGTTCTGTCTGCACTAACCACTTGTGACTCCAATAATCCTTTTTAGTGCCCCTGCTTCCTTTAGGTGATAACAATCCCAAGAATTCTCCCTTTGGCCTTCTCTCTCTCTTTCTATAATTACTGTGGATCCAGACTCCTGCTATGGATCTGCCCCATTGAGATCCTTACCACATTACTCTTCTCTGTTCCCTACGTTCACCCTTCTGGTATCTTTAACTAAACCTGAACTATTGGCTTTCCTAGATATTTTCCAAGAATCCCTCAGGTTCTCCATATCTCCCTTTTCAATGACTAGTTCTCAAAAACAAACAAGTATTATTTTTCCTTCATCAAACATCTCTGTCAAAGTCTAAATACTTCTTTCATCTTGTCAATGGCACTCAGAGAGAATATCTCTCATCTATAAAACTAAGGATGCTTAAAAGGGTAGGGGAACCTTTCAGTCCTCTCAGTAACTCACTGACATAGGTAGTGTTAAAGTGTTGCATATATTGGTTAATGTCTCTCCATCTGGATTCATTTGTTTCCACTATATAAGTTCCTTCACTTAGATGAAAATTTCTTGTGGGCAGAGATGATGCCAGGTTCATAACTGCAACCCTTCCTTCAGAATTTGACATATAAAGATGTTCAAGGAACATTTGCAGAGTAGATTAACTATCTGAGCACTAAAGTCAGCTTCTGGCGGAGAGGGGGGGGAGGGACGGAGTTACCTTGCTTTAAAAGAGAAGATGAAAGTTCGGACTCTCTTTAGTAGTCCACACGGCTCACCTCTTTCTTCCAGCTGGATGATGGCAGTGCCTGGCCCGAAGCTGTTCCAAGCAGTACAGTTGTAGTGGGTCTGGAAGTCAGCCTCCATGACATTGTTGATGGTGAGTGTGGACAGCACACCACTTCCTGAGTTAGTTCTCTCCACAGTGTAGCGCTCCAGTGTCCCCACCTCTAGAAAGTTCTCCTTCCATGCCCAAGCCTGGGGTGGGGAAGGCAGGGTGGATGTAAGAAAAGGGCATGTGGAAGAAGCATGTGCCCCCAAAACAGCTCATCCACTCTTGGGTAGCCTTACAGAAGCATATTTGTTATCCCCAGGCCCAACAAACCTTCACCCCGAAACAACCTGTGTCTCACCGACTACCACAAACCCTTCACACTGAACTTCCACTCCAGAAGCTGTGGCTCCCACACAATGGACATCAGATTTCTCTACAGAGACCCCCTAGTTGAGACTTACATACCAGGTGTGGATGTAGGGAGAGACCCAGAAACCTGCTTCTATGGTAGTCCCATGCTTTAAGTATGACATTGCACGGTATTTTGTGATGTGGAGGCAGTTGAGCCAATATTTGGGCTTTGGGTGTTGCAGGAACTTGAGATCCCAGTTTGTATACCCCCCAGTCCAGAGCAGCTATGTGGCCATGCTTTCTCTGTGTAGGCCTCAGTTTCCTCATTTCTGAAGTAGTTCATTCCAGCCAGCACAGGGCAATGCTCAGTCTTGTGATTCTAACTGTGCACAAGTCTATCTTACCAGCCTTACCATTAACCAACCCACAGAAACTTGCCTGGCTCTCTGGAGATGCATCTGCCTGCTCTTAATTATGAGCAGGGAGTCAAGAGGAGTGTCCCCAGGCCCTCCATCCCTGACCTCCCCAGCTGAGGCATTACCAACTGTGTGTTCTCATGGCAGAGGGGACACTAAGGAAGAAGAATAGCTAAATGTTGGCTCCTTTCCAGGGATCACTCCCAGTTCTATGAGGCAAACCTCCTGGGACCCAAACCGCCTTCTGCCTAGGCAACTGTGATAATGAAGTACCCCTGAGCAGCCCTGGAGCTAGCCAAGTGGTCATTAAATGTGATAAGGGTTTTGATGGTTAGTGGCCACAGGAGAAACTAATTGTTTATAGTATAAGGAGTGAAGAAAAGAATGAGGAATGATCAGAGACTGGTGGAAGGAAGACAGGAAAAAAGAGAAAACAGTGGGACAGGTGGGAGAGAGAGAAGGGATGGGGGAGGGGCAGGCTGGTGGGAGGGGGAAGAAGGAGAGGAAGGCACAAAGAAAAGAATGGGAGGTATAGCCAGGGTGGAGGATGAGGGAGGAGAAAGGACCTTCACCAGGAATGAGAGGGAACCTATCGTTCCCTGATTCCAAGGAACTGGGTTCTTTACAACTACTGCTTTAATGGCATATATAGGGTTAGGGTCTCCTCTTTGAGGATGAGGAACTGAGTAACAAACCACTAATCTGCTCAGGGTCACACAACTAAGGGAAAAGGTAGAATTTGGACAGGTAAAATGATTCAGAAACTAAAAAGGCAGAGGATTACAAGATGAGGAAAGAGTGAGGTGACCAAAGATGCAAGTCAGAAGAGGGGAGGAGCTGGGCAGGAGTGACACATTGGGGCTGCCTGTTCAGCCTGCCCGGCACTCACAATTCGATCCGGAGGTGGGGTACTCCCAATGAAGCACTCCACCTTGCCGCCGTCACCTCTCACAGCAAACTGCACCGCCTCACTGGAGATAATAGGGGGTCCTGCAAGCAGGAAGACATAGTCAGGCCGGATGGAAGCTGTAGGGCTTGTCCACTGGGTCTCACCCGCCCAGGGCACTCACCATTTACATAAAGTGGTACCTCTCGCTCAGCCACTCCTATTCGAGGCACAATGGCCCGACAGGTATAGGTGCCGGCATCTGCCTGGGTCACTGACTTCAGCAACAGCTGATTGCTGTTACTCAGGACCTGGGCAGAGAGATTAGCCTCGGGTGGGGAGCCAGGAAGCCTGAGCCCCTAGGTTGGTGAGGGCCCCGCATCAGAGGCATGGGAAAGAAAGCACGAAGGGCCACAAGTGAATTCCCAGAAGGCAAACGAGCTCCTGAGTCTGGTTGATCCATGCCCCGGACTCTAAGCAGGCTAGCAATAAGGGCACCATCTGTACAAGAGTGGGCAGATGTTGGCTACAACTGTAAAAGGATACAGTCCTCTCGAATGATCTGTTCCTGTGCTTATATTATTAAGCCAGGGAAGACAGTTTATTCTGAAATTCCTCTATACAATTCTGGCCCAAACTGCCTAATATGGGTCTTTAGACTTGTGCACTTCAACTTTCCTCACCAGCTTCACTACTTCCCTGTGCACCATGCATGAGTCTTTGACGACTGCCACAACACCACCTGTTCCCTTCACCCTCTTCACCCTCAGTTCTATGCAAAGTCCAAGAGTGAGTACAGATGATTGCAAATGTTCTCTCCCAAATCCCAAGACCCTAGAAATGTTCCAGTTTTGATCTGAAAAAGCAAGCCTAACCCCTCCCGTTGTGTTAACTGCGCCAGGATGTCCGTGTCCCTTCCTCCCAGCATTCAGCACAGGCAGGGAGAGGTTTACCATGTTTGAGTCCTTCTTGGTCCAGGTGAGGGTGAGTGGGGGGTTCCCAACCCAGACACAGGTGAGGGTCACATCAGAGCCAATGTCTGTGGTTGTGGGCTTTGGGTCAACTACAATCCGGGGGGCAACTGAGGAAGAGAGAAGTGGCCAGTCAGAGTCACAAGGGCCTGAGTGTCGACTCCAATTTGTTCTTTTTCCTTTCTTGTCTACTCTACCTCCCCGTGTTTATTCCTATCTTGCCAGTTTAGTGAAGCTTTCCCTCCCCTGTACCCAAGGACTCTCCATCCCCTGCCTCTGCCCCTCCAGCTACTCACAGTGAACATTCACCAAAGTGCTGACATTGGTGTTCCCCACTTTGTTGTAGACCTCACAAGACACAGGCTCCGTGAAGAAGGAATAATCAACGTTTGTCTCATAACGACTCTCATGGGCATCTTCAATCAAGAACCCTCCTTTGGCCCACCTAGAGGATGAGGCAACACAGATGTGAGATCAAAACTTGGGACTGTCTCAGCTACACTCAGGGACAGTGACCTCCCTAGTAACTCCACCACCACTACACCAGTCTCAAGGGCCTGTCCATTTATCACCGACATAGCACTCCCAAACCCCAACCCTTTCACCTGTAGCCCAGGATCTCAGGGTTGGCTGTGGCCTGGCATGTAAAGATGACTCGCTCGCCCTCCTGCACTGTCTGGGGTTCAATGGACAGAGTCACTGTAGGAGGATCTGCAAAGTAGGGCATAGAATGTCAGGGTCTTTTTGTCCTGAGTTTCTCTCTTTCCTTTGGTAACAAATGTATTCATACCACATTGATGTGAAATGAGAATCCAATTTTACAAGGTATCACCCTCACCCTTTCTACACAGGGCTCTGGCCAAGAATGATGCTGAAGAAACCAATTATCCAATGGATGTAATGACCAAATATGGTCACTAGGTGCCACTGCAGATTAGCTTAGTTTACTGTAAAGTCAGAGCATCTCTAACTAGAAGGGATGCAAGGAACATCTGCCAGGGATGCTCTTGTGCCATAATTTCTTTAATATTCACAGTTTCAATAAGCAGATATAATACTATACTCAATGCTCCATCTACCAACTATTGTTTCCCATGGATCAAACCAGAAACTAAGGGGATTGTTGGTTCTGGGTTTCTTGGATCCTCATTCTGAGCTTCTAAAACTGCCTAAATTCTGTCCCCACCACCTCATGTATCCTAGCCAATACTCTACTCACGGTGTACATCGAGCTCAATGGATGTCTCCTTGCCATTGGGGATGGCCTCATTCATGCTGCGACAGGTGAACACGCGACCGATGTCTAGGTCTGTGGGGTGAATGAGCAGCTGGCTGATTGTAGTCTCCCTTTTCCCATCCTTCAGCAGTTCCTGGGGAGAAGGAAAGATAGAGTAAGACTAAAGCCCCCTCCCCTGCTCTCAGAGAAACCAGCTAAAGATTGTACCTTAACAGCGCAGTTCCTTCCTCCATTCTTTCTACTTTAAAGAAGTAGGCTATTTTAAAAAGTTCTCTGAAATTTACAGAAAAATCGAACAGGAAGTTTCCCTCTCCTTCACCGTGTGCCTCATTACTATACCTTACACTAGTGTGGAAAACTTATAGCAACACATTGGTACACTGCTGCTAACTGAAGTGTATGGTGCATTAAGCATTTACTCTTTGCAGTATAATTTCCCTCTGCACAATGTAGTCTTATTCCTGGAACCCTCTGAGCCATGTTTAAGTTCTTCCCCTTCGAGAAAGTCTTCCCAGGATGGCCCAGAACTGTGACATATCTCCCAATGGAACTGTTAGACTTACTGTCCTGTGCTACAAGTGTGGGATCAGACACACCAGCCCAAAGACTCATGGGCTCAGTGACAGACACCCCAAGTCATTTTCCATATTGTCACCTACCTGAGGCAACCACACTATGAAAAAGAATGAGATCTCTCATTTATATAGCCATGCATACATCTTTGTGGGACCACAGCATCACCCAATCGATTCAAAACACAGTGATATTCTGAAACTCCTAATCTTAAGTGAATAAGCAAACTAGAGGAGTAGGCAATAAATGGTATTAATAAATCAGTTTGCCTGGCTGCCAAGACAATTTAAAAGAAGTAGCCCCTCTTCCTGGGAGAAAAACAACAGGTTTAAAAGTAAAAATGTCAGGTCGCATGGGGGTCAAATAATCATTTATTAAATGGTACCACTGAGGCCAGAAAGAAGAGATAAGCCCAAGACCACAGCGGTCACTAAGGGCAAAAGCCAGAATCCAAGTTGTCCATCTGAGACAGTGCATGACAACCCGGGCTTCCACAGCTCTTCGCTGTGCTGAAGGAAGAGGGTAAAAGGATCAACAGGGCAGTCAGACTCGAGTACAGAATGCCAACTCTGCTGCTTGCTCTCTGTGTGACTTTGGACCAGGCACCCCTTTGTAAGTTGGAAGCAATGCCTACTTTATGGGACTCTTTTGAGGTTTAAGATATTGCTCATCAAGTACCTAGCACACAGCAAGTACATATGAAATGGCTGTGACCCTGGAAGTCCACTCCCTTTAGGAAAGGAAAGATAGCCTGGAGCTGTGACAGGGAGAGTAGGTTCTCACCGTGGTAGCCACAGCCCCCTCCTGTTGTGTTCCATCACGGAACCAAATGATGTTGGCAGCAGGCTTGGCATTAAAGGCTCGGCATGTGAGGTTGTGGGGGGTGCCTGCTTGCAGCAGAATCACAGGGCCGCCATCAATCCTTGTGTCCTCTGGAGGAACTGGAGGGAAGAGAACAAAATCAGCTCAAGATGCAGCCAACAGTGCTCCTTGCTGTGGAGGTGTCCTTCCATCTGTCCCTCTCAGCAGATCAATGCCGCCCTAACCCAATTCACAACCACTATATTATATACAGTGCTTCTGAAGAGGCTTCACTCGGCCCACCAGCTTTCTCAGCTTGCTGGTTACTCTTTCACAGCTGCTGTTATTGTCTGATACTGTACACACCTCTATTACCCAAGGGTGTTTGCTTCGGATGGAGGCAAATCTCAGATTTTGAGTACAGACCACACCCGGGGGAAGGAAAGGTGTTTCCCTCACAGGATCCCTTCTATCTATCCCCTTTCATCTCATCCCCTGCCTGGAATGGCCAGATGGGGATCTCTATCCATTACAGCTTTAGCAGTTGTTTTCTCCATAGCACTTAAGACTGTGCTGTTCTGCTCAAACACCTCTAGAGGCTACAACTGCCTGTGGTGAGGATTCCAAACCCTGTTTGTCTCCTGTTTTAGGGTCCGCAAGCCACGCCCTGTAGTCCCTTACCTCCTCACTTTGTTTCTGCTGTTTTCTCCATGATGTGTGCCCTCTCAGAGTGGCTGTGGAAGAGTTACCACCCCGGTGGAAAGATTTGTGTGCCCACTGTGGCAGCTTTCAGCTGCTTACTATTGGTGACTGCCTCTCTCTGCCTCAATACCCTCGGAAAAAAAACAGGTACAAGTCTAACTGGCATTTAAAAAGTCTCCACTGCATGGTTAAAACAGGTCTTTGCTTAAGGAACTGAGTTAGCTGCTATACATCTGGTTTTAAGAAATAAACTTTTTTTTTTCATATACCACTGCCACAGACTTCTAAATGTTTAGGGTGAGTTCCCCAAGGCCAACAGTCCTAAGTTCTGTGAGGGCAGGGGTTCTTCTTCTTTTTAAATAAAATATTTACTCACTTACTATTTTGAGACAGAGACTCATTATGCAGTTGAGGTTGGCATTGAATTCATGATTCTCCTGCCTTAACCTCCCCAAGTGCCGGGATCAGAGGCTTGAGGCATTGCATTTATTTCTTCCTATTAACTCTTATACCAGCAATATCAGTATAACTTGGTGACCAGGAGGCCCTAGGGGCCATCGACTGACCAGGCCATTGATAGGATAAAGTCAGAAAGATTTTGATAATAATCTAGGTCCATTCGATATTCAATATTCAGAAATGAGCAAAGATTTGGTTTTCTTCTTTCTGAGAAAGACACAGGAGACTGAGAGGTAACTTCTAGAGACCCTTGAGGGAAGACCGTGGGAGGTCCGTGGAGCTGGAGGCAGGCAAGGCTGTCCCGGGTTGCTGGAGGTACAGTTGCTGACACCGCTTTCCACTCTGGTTATGTGGAGTGGCAGAGTGGAGAAGGAATGGAATTTAGATCAATGCCTTTCACATCCTGGCACCTCCTTTTACTGTCATGTATTGTTGGTTGAGCCCTTAAAGGCACTAAGTCTGTTTCTTCCTCAGAGACCTAACAAAGTCCCTTCATTGAGCCTATGTGAGGTCAGTGAGGTACTGCACACAGACTGTGGCATGCAAGGAACTTGTGATGTGTAAAACATGCTACTTTTAGGGGGATGAAAGGATTCTGGCTTCTACCCACCAAATTACTCCTGGCTCTCCCACCTCTTCCCTGCTCCCTAGTATATACAATTCCAGTAATAGGGGCAGAGTTGTGGTTGTAAGCAGAAGAAACTTGAGAAGTGGAGAAATGGGGAGGGTCTCCTAGTCTGCCTGGCTCTCTACAGTTGGACCTTGATACCACACTCAGGAACTGAGCCTCTATATGCTCAGAGACGTTGGATCCCTGCTACAAAGAGAGAAAAGCATTTTCTCCCACTGGTCTTTCTGCCTTTGTCATGTTTCTCTTCCCTTTGCTTGGGCAAAGACCATCTGTCACCTCTGTCACCAACTCACATTTCTCTAGAATTTTTCAAAGTCTTTGCTGTCAATTTTTTTTATTGATTTTATTGAGCTCTGTATTTTTCTCTGCTCCCCTTTCTTCCTCTCCTATCCCTTCAATCCTTGCTTATGGTCCCCATGCTCCCAATTTACTCAGAAGATCTTGTCTTTTTCTACTTCTCATGTAGATTAGATCCATGTAAGTCTCTCTTAGGGTCCTCATTGTTGTCTAAGTTCTCTGGGATTATGATTTGTAGGCTGATTTTCTTTGCTTTATGTTTAAAAGCCACTCATGAGTGAAAGTATGTGATAATTGCCTTTCTGTGTCTGGGTTACCTCACTCAAAATGCTGTTTTCTAACTCCATCCATTTGCTTGCAGGATGTCATTATTTTTTCTGCTGTGTAGTACTCCATGTGTAACTATACCACATTTTCCTTATCCATTCTTTGGCTGAGGGGCATTTAGATTGTTTCCAGGTCCTGGCTATGACAAACAATGTTGCTATGAACATAGTTGAGCACATGTCCTTGTGGCAGACTGAGCATCCTTTGGATATATACCCAAAAGTGGTATTACTGAGTCTTGAGGAAGGTTGTTTCCTAATTTTCTGAGAAATCGCCACACTGACATCCAGAGGGGTTGTACCAGCTTGCATTCCCATCAGCAATGCAGAAGTGTTCCCTTTCCCCACAACCTCTCCAGCATAAGTTGTCATCAGTGTTTTTGATCTTAGCCATTCTTATAGGCATAAGATAGAATCTCGGAATTGTTTTGATTTGCATTTGTCTGATGACTAAGGATGTTGAACATTTCCGTAAATGTCTTTCAGCCATTATAGATTCCTCTGTTGAGGGTTCTCTGTTTAGGTCTGTACTCCATTTTTTTATTGGATTATTTGTTTTTTTGATGACCAATTTCTTGAGTTCTTTGTATATTTTGAAAATCCGACCTCTGTCTGATGTAGTTAAGATCTTTTCCCATTCTATAGGCTGTCATTTTGTCTTATAGATGGTGTCCTTTGCTTTACAGAAGCTTTTCAGTTTCAGGAGGTCCCATTTATTAGTTGTTTCTCTCAGTGTCTGTGCTATAGCAGTTAAATTTAGGAAGTGGTCTCCTGTGCCAATGCACTCAAGTGTACTTCCCACTTTCTTTTCTATGAGGTTTAGTGTGGTTGGCTTATGTTGAGGTCTTTGATCCATTTGGACTTGAGTTTTGTGCATGGTGACAGATATGGATCTATTTTCATTCTTCTACATGCTGATTTCCAGTTATGCCAGCACCATTCGTTAAATATGCTTTCTTTTTTCCATTTGATATTTTTTGCTTCTTTGTCAAAAATCAGGTGTTCAAAGGTGTGTGGATTAATATCCAGGTCTTCAGTTTGGTTCCATTCATCCTCCTGTCTGTTTTTATCTTTGCTGTCAATTGTAAACCATGAGACAACTGACAATTTCTACCATTTACCCAGTGTTTACCTCTTGTTTACTAAAGCACCTTGTGCATATGACTTCATTTAACCCTTATTATAAAATATCAAATCTTGGGAAAAAGGTAGGAAGGTAGGGAAGGAGGAAGGAAGGAAGGAAGGAAGGAAGGAAGGAAGGAAGGAAGGAAGAAAAAAGAAAGAGAAGGAGGGAGGGAGGGAGGGAGGGCAGGCTGATAGCATTATGGTGTATTTCCATGCCATTTATCAGGGTCACAGTACAAAAATGACTAAGGGGCTGGAGAGATAGCTCAGAGGTTAAGAGCACTGGCTGGTTGCTCTTCAGAGATTTTGAGTTCAATTCCCAGCAACCACATGGTGGCTCACAACCATCTGTAATGATACCTGGTGCCCTCTTCTGGTGTATAGGCATACATGCAGGCAGAACACTGTATACATAATAAATAAATAAATCTTTGTTTTAAAAAATGACCAAGGCACAAACTGAACCCAGGGCTTGGGATTCCCAGCAGTCTAGAGCTCTTTCCATTGCTAGGAGTCCCCCCCATATTCTCCCTCCCCCAAATAGGAGGGAAGTTGGCATGCAGACTCTTTTATCTCTGTTCCTTTCTCTTTTCTCTCAACTTCAATGGCTTTGTGCTGGAGGGAGGGCAAGGATGAGAAGTGGAGGTCAGAGGGAAGGGAAAGGGGACTCAAGCAGAAGGATCCACGCCCAAGAAGCACAACAGAGGCAGTGAAACCACAGAGCTGGGGGGTGGGTGGGATCTTAAGACCTGAAGATGGGCCACTGCTGGCTTCACTTTTGTTCTGTGTGGAGAACAGTCCTCTCGTTATTCAGATGGTCCAAGGCTTGCTACAGTGACATCTACTCTGTCCCCCTGTACACTGTGGCTGGAGATCAGTTTTCAATCCGTCAGGCCACTCCAGCTGCAAACCGTCTGGTCTCTGGGTCCAGACTCCCAGGCTTATTTCTCCTGGGTCTGTGTCGTTCCCTGATGTTCAAGGGAACATATAACAGGAGAGGAACATGCTGAGGAAAGGCAGTCAGGCAGGCTGGGTTGAAAGGGAAAAGGGTCTGGGGTTCAGGGACGGCAGAGAAATGGAGAAGAACAAGCAAAGTTTCCTAAACCACAGACCCTACCGCAGTATAAATCAGTGCAGAAAGCCTTGTCTCCGCAGCTGTACTTCACATAATGCTCTGGATCCTCAGTGTGATTGGAGCAGAGGTCCGAGCAAAGGATACCAAACTTACAGAAACCATAATACCCAGTAAAGGCAAGGATAGCACAGCCTCCTCCACTCTTGACCTGCTTTTAGTTTGTTTTGTTTTGTTTTTAAGTATAATTGACGCTGTGTGTATGTGTGTGTGTATAAACACACCTGCTTCTCTGTATGAGCAACACACACATGGCCACAGAAGCCAGAAGAAGGCATTAGAATCATCTGGAACTGGAATTCTCAGTGGTAATAAAGCACCAGATGTGGGTGCCAGGCACTGAACTCAGATCTGCAAAAGTAGCAAATGCTCTTAACCACTGAGCTTTCTAGTCCCTTAGCTTTTGAAGAGGTTTGTGTAAGGAGTTGTTGAGAGAGAACCAGGGAGAGTAGAGACAGCAGGGGGAAAAGCGAGGCTAGGAAGAGAGGAAAAGGTTGGGACACTGAAGAGGGAAATGGAGTGGGGAGAAACAGATTGGGAGTCATTACTGAGCACGGTGAGTTTGGCCCGCCGGGAACGCAGTGCAGCCTCTGTGGCCTGGCACTCATAGGAAGCATCGTCAGAGAGTTCGGCATCGGTGATCTCCAAGTTGTATTGACCAGCATCTGCAGAGCCCACGACCCGGTACCGTGGCCAGGCTGCAGGTACAGAACGGGGAAGATCAGAGTAAGACTCAGTCTTGAGGCCTGACCACGCTGTCCTCTCTACCCAGAGCTCATCATCTCCTCAGATCCTCCCCAAAGCAGAACCAGCATCCATTCCAGGTTACTTTTCCCCACTTTGCCCTCTCCTTGGCACCTCTGGAAGGTGAGACTTTGAAGCACCAGACACAGACTCCATAACTATTAAGCAGGAGGGGATAGTGAGGATTAAACAGAGAGAGAGAGAGAGAGAGAGAGATGAGTAGATGAAATCTCCACAGCTGTTCACAGGTAAATATTTCTCATGACGATAGCAAAGGAAGAGGAAGAAAAGAACAGCAAACAGGCAGGAGAGTGGCAGTGGTAAGCGCAGGCCATCTCAGCACTTATGGACCACCTCTGTGTGGCCTGCAAGGTCTAGTTGCCTCTCACCATGGAAGGAGAATGAGCAAGGTTTGCTGGTTCCTCAAAGGAGAACCCAAGTGTGATTTCTGCTTCTTTTCCAAGGCCTCTGTATCTAGTCTGCCCTGTTAATAGGTTTCCACTAGCTCCCATCATCTGCTTTGTACTGCCCCACCCCAGAGGGTATGGATTCTTCTGATTGTGTATCTATTGACCTCTATCTCTCTCATGTTCCCTCTCATCAACAATAGATCCATCACATTCATTTCTTTCCTTTTGCAGAGTGTGCCATGCAGATTTCCTCAACCTAGACCCACAGCAAATAATCCCACCACCCTTAAAAATAATAAGACCAGAAGTCTTATTATTATATAGTCCCTCACCCACTTACCTCATTATGGTGCTTCATAGCTAACAATGTTACCCTCATAAAACATATTCTGCCACTTGGTGTTAAAACCAAAAGTGCACTTTTAAGACAGACAGACTATGACTGTCGAACCTGCTTCACAAATCTAACGAAGACAAAGAGAGCCACACAAAGTGGTTTTCCTCAAGTCACTCAGTGGGCAAGTGGCTGAGGGGTAATGGGAGCCAGGTATCTTGGCTCTTTACCCTCTCTGCCTAGAAATATTTCCAAGGGTCTCTGGACTTGCTTTGGGATATAGGAAAGTAGGGTGTTTCTCACTGTTTGAATTTTTGTGTTTTTTTCAGCACTGGCTACATAACCTGTGCTTAACAAATGCTCATGGAATTATTAAACTAGAACGTGCTTAGGCTGATGTTAACAGCAAATGGTTGCAAAAAGCAGACATGGATTATGAAGGGGGAAGAGAAAAGCAATAGGTAGACAGAGAATGGAGAACTGCTATAATTATTTATAATTTCAAAAATTTTTTTAAAAAAGGAGAAAGGGTAGACAGTAGCTCAGCATACCAACTATATGGAGTGGGCTGGGCTGGCTTTTGCTCTCCTTGCATCTCCTCCTGCTTGACCTGCCCACAGCATCCCATTGCTGTCTCCCTGACTGTGTCTGATCCTCCAGGCCACACACTACCTCTCTTGAGACAATCCACAGTCTGAGGAAAGGGAGGGTTGCAGGGTAAAAATGACAGACCTCAGAAGTCAAGAACAGGATAGAGAGAAGGTGGGTAGCAAATACAGAAATCTAGGCTAAGAGCAGGGAATAGGATTTCCGGATGCTGGGTTGTGGGTCAAACTCAAGGCCGTGCACCATGATAGCATGCACTCTAATAAAGGTACAGTCCCAGCCCACCACTCACCTTTGAGGCCCTGGCCCATGCCAAGAGCCAGCCCGTCCTTGGTCCATTGTACGATCCCAGAGTAGTTGAGGAGCACACATGGCAGCACAGCCCGCTGTCCAGCCACCACAGTCTGATCAGCTGGCTCCTGGCTGAAGCGAGTCTGGGTCCCAGGTAAAGCCAAAACTAGCAGCGGGTAAAAAGAAAGGTGAGGAGGGTTCCACCAAGGTCCCTTGCAGGATTCTACTCTTATCCTGCAATCCGGGGCCATGCGTTCCCACACAAGAGTCCACGTGCTCCCTTTACTCCTCCCTCTCAGGGCCCCAGGGACAGGTCTAAAGTTCTGGAGGGTTTAGCAATCATAGAAATGGTTTGGCATTACCTAAAGGTCTTCAGATTGGACCTGACCCAGTTTTGAACACTGAAGCCCAGAGAATCACACTTATCCAATGATCGCCCACTGAACGAATAATAGAGCTAGAGCTAGACTTCAAGCCCTTGCAGTCTGGTCCAAGGCTGTCTTTTAAAACCTCTTCTGCATCTGATGCCTCCCCTTAGACACTCAGGTTCATGGGCGATATATTCATAACAGGTGACTATAATGCCACAGTCTCTTCCTTCCCATGTAGTATGAACCAACAGATGTTTGGCTTTACCATGTATAATGTGTCTACTTAAGTGCATAGACAACTCCAAGGTGATAGTACATCCAAAGCCAAATAGACCTGAACCCACTTGTCTGTATACTGGCTCTGTTCCATGTGTTTACCCTTGATCCAAGGGCTGGAACACAGAGATGAACCCACCAAAACATCTGCATGTACACACCCTCCTGCATCTTGGGAGCTGAGACAGTGTGGGACTTTGTTCTATTCTCCCTCCAGCTCCAGAAGCTACATATGGCTGCCTGGCTGGCAGCTTGTCTGGGAGCATTTGATGAGAGAACTGCAGAGTAATTGCCTTTAATTGTGGACTCTAAATGGAGTAGGGAATTGGATTGCAGATTTCTTCTCTCTTGCTCCCACCAACAGGCTTGCTTCATCACTGGCTGGTCCCAGTGGTAGGGCACACTGCACACTGGGCACAGTATAATGTGAGTATTAGTTTCTTACACTGGACAATAGGGAAGGAGAGGGGTTGATGAGGGATCAGCAAAGGGTAAAATTGGAGGCTTCCTTACCCTAGCTCCAATAGGTCACACAAGGCAATCAAAATAAACTCTCTTTAAAGCTTAGATTCCTGGTTTACCTTTTCTTCCAGCTCAGAGTCTATAGAGGCTACAACCCCCTAATCCAAGTCCTTTCAAACCCAGCTTCTCAACTCATTCCTCCCCAAGTCAAGACCTCCCTTTCATCCAGTGTATAGGTTTCACTCCACTTCTTAATCTGGAATCAAACACAGGGCCCTCTACCATTGAACAAAAGCCAAGCCCTGGGTCCTAGTCGACTCACTCCTTTCTTCTCTCCAGTTCCATTTCTCCCCTTCTTTCCAAATTTGTCCCCACATTCTCCATTCAGGAAAACCTGATTCCATAGCCCCTTGTGCAAGCACAGATTGTCCCATCACTCAATCTGTGGCAACTCTATCTACAGGGTTTCCTGTCCAAAGCTGTCGGGGATCAAGCCCATGATTTTGTCATCAAGAGGTGGAAGACAGCTTATTGGTGGAAGTGTTTTCCCTATCTGTTCCATGAGAATAGACCCTCTCTCTCACACACACACACACAACACAGAGTGGGGAACTCTCTTCTCTTTCTGTGTCTCCTGGGATTGGAAGAGAACAGCACAGGTAACAGTCTTTGTCCTTGGTTAAATGCAACAACACAGCTCTTTGGATCTTCATGGGATCCGGACGTTAGAAAAGGTGTACCTGTTTTTTGCTTTTTTGTTTTGTTTTGTTTTTTGTTTTGTTTTTTTTTGTAAGTGGTTCCCCAACTTCTCAGACCTAGTTTCCCCAGCTTGTCTCTTACAGGAGGAAAAGATAAATCTCATTCACATTTCCAGAGAAAAGGATGACAGGTGCTGAGACCCTGCAGGCCAGGTCAGCAGCCTGGTGTTACTAATTCAAGCATTTGCACTCATTATTATTTAAATTTATTCATATCATTGCATGTTCTCTAGTGCAGCTATGTGCAACAAACTCTGTATCCTGTATCTCTTCCTCAAGGCTCCTAGAGCCCATGGCAAGGACTTGTGACTGGGGTGGCCTGTCCATAACTTTTCTACACAAAGCCTGGAGGGTTCTCCAGAGGACAGTGGGCAGTTTACTTGCAATGAGGAGCTGTAAGACCCTGCAGTGGGAGGGCGGTGGGATGCACCTGGAGTCAGGAGACAAGGTCTTGCTGGAGTGAGAAGCAGGCAACCTTGGCCTGGTTCTCCCTTAATTACCTGGATTTCCAGTTACTCGCTGTAAGATGACAAGACTGGATTAGACTGCCAAACACCCTTTCTGTTCAAATTCTAGGAGAAATGACTTAGGAGAAGACTAAGGTTTCCATGGTCCCTCTGCTCCTCTTTCTAATTGGGTAGCCCTGGCGAAGTTACCTTCCAAAGAGCATTTTCTTACTTGGGAATGATATGTATGTGTCGCGGACCACTGTGAAGCCAAGTGTGATGAGGTGGATGCAGGCCTACCAAAGTCCTTTACATGTACCTGCTAAACAGCCATGAGCACTGTCTATCCCTTGAGCACTTAGACAACTAGATATACACAAAGAAGACACTTCGGGGAAACATAAGAATGAGTAACAGAAGGATTACTCTGTTTTTCTGTGAGTTTTTCTGCTTTTCTGTGAATTTTGATGTAAAATAAATCTTTGAGTCAGCCCTAGTTGAAGCAATTTGGTCTAAAAGCAGAGCGGAAGCAATGGTAAGCAGAGTCCAATGATGAAAGAGGAGGGGCTCTCAGAATTTGAATCCGTGGAAGAACCACTTTCTGTACCAAAGCCACAAGCAGTGGCACATGTCCCCAAATAGCCCTACAGCCAAGATAGCACACTAGAGAGAAAAGACGCCATGGGTGATACTCAAGCCAACTTATGATGAGGGAAAACACAGTCTAATCTAACTAAGTTCTATTCTCTAAAGTCTACGTAAGGTGGATATAGGTCACCCTTCAGGGCCCCACACAGGTCTCTGAAAAACACTCCTTCTTGGAGATTCAAATATTCACTTCATCTGGGACGCCTTCCATGATTCCACGCACTGCCTCAGAGCCTCATCTGGGACACCTTCCATGATTCCACGCACTGCCTCAGAGCCTCATCTGGGACACCTTCCATGATTCCACTCACTGCCTCAGAGCCTCATCTGAGATGCCTTCCATGGTTCCACACACTGCCTCAGAGCCTCATCTGAGATGCCTTCCATGATTCCACGCACTGCCTCAGAGCCTATCTCATAACTTTTTATTTCTGCCTTAGTGAGGACCACGCTGCTCAGGTCACCTATCTCAGCCCAGCCTGGGGCAACTTTTTGAGTCTGGACTGTGTCACTCACAGCCCTAAGTCTCATTACAAGTGCCTGCCGCAACACTTGGAGCTGTGACACGGGGTGTGCTAAGTTAGTCTATTCACAGACGGATTATTAGGAGCCAATACCCAAGTCCAACCTTGTGAAACTTCTTCAGGGAAAGCAGAGCACTGCCCTCTCCCTCCACTCTGCCCCATCTAAGTGAGACTGAAACATGCAGTACCCATAGTGTGTTCTCTCCCGTGAGAGAAAGCCTGAAAAATGGGATATGCTGTAGAGCTGGGAAGGATAACACTCAGTATAGAAGGTTCTGTTGCAGATGATGAGGGGAAGTGGACAGTGGAAGAGAATGTCTGGAAAGCTCTGAGCATAAAGGGTAGTAGTGCCCCAAGAGGAGACATAAGGTGTTGGTAAGTCTTATAGCGTCAAGAAATGCCAATAACCTAGAACATGTGACCTAGTGAGTGACACACCACAACTCAAGCATGCCTTCGAGGTCTTGGGTACTTGAGCCACCAGCTAAGCTTAGTGAAGCCTGTTCTGAACTGAGAGGAAAAATCTCAGTCCTTATGTCCATGTCCAGGAACAGAACCAGCATAGTATAGCAACACACAGAGAGAAGCAGAAAAGGCATGGCCACAGACAGGCGAGTACTAACCTCTTGCTGCAGCATCAAGTCAACAGCCTCATGCTTCTGATGGTATTTAAAGGGAATTTTCACTTCCATACTGCTCCCTCCCGAACTTCAGACTATATCACAGATGAGGCAAGCCAGCTACAATGAAGACAGATCAACATACACACACACACAAACACACACATACACACTTGATAGGACATTAACAGAGGTACTGAAACAAACACTGAAAAACAGCCAAAACAACTAAAGATAGACATTCACACAAAGGCAGAGAAGAAAGGAATAAAGAACAACCCTGAAGACCAATATGTCTGTAGCGTCCTAATGGAGCCAAGGTAGAAGAGAAGACAGGGGAAAGTTACCTACCAAGAGAAACCTAGAACAGAGTGACTCCAGACCTACCTACAGAGATGAGGCCGGCTTAGCCTCTTCTTCAAAAGAATTACCTAGTAAGTCTAAGCAACCTTTTCTTTCCTACCTTCATTGGGATTTCTAGAGACTCAGCTTGGGTTTTCCCTCAGGGCAACAGTGAATAGAGCAAATGAAGTAGGGAAGGGATTCACACTGGAGAGGAAAGGGGAGCAGAGGAACTGGTCCCCTGTCACCATACCTCTGTCTCATTCCTAAATCGCCTTCCTTCCGAGTTAACTGTCAACCTTCAGCACCACTTCTAGCCTCCTTCCTTTATTCTCCCACAGCTTTGTCTGGACTTCTGGTGAGAGAACACACCACAACCTGCCTTGGATTAAAAATTATTCAGGTGTGTTTTGTCTCCCCGCTCTCCTGTGAGCCCCTGAGAACAGAGGTTTTGATTTACTATTCCTGTTCATTCAGCCCCAGCAACGCTCCATAATAATAAATACCCCCAATTATAAAATGCTGATTGCGTGCCACTCTGATGTCTTACAGACACTGTTTCTAGCATTATAACCTGCTACATAGTGGTAGTTATCACCTGCATTTTAAAGAAAGGGGAATTATGTTCTGGCAAAAATGAGATAAAAACAGGCGTCTGAGCTCCATAGTCACTACTGTTGGTGTTCTGTCACATTCCAGGAATATCCAATCCTGTAAAT